CTGAGTACTTTCATAAGAAAGCAATCAGTAATCTAACCTGCATTATTAAACCACGACTGATGTCATAAATGTTATTTGGAAATACTTTTTACAGAGGATTCCCTCTATTGTCTCTTCCTTCGTAATGACTCACTGTGGAACCCCTTGCATAAATCACAGAATTAATTTCAGCTCAAGAAAAACGTCAACAATTCCCCTTTCATCATCATAACTATTTTTCTTTCTTTGTTGCCACAACCTTGATACAGTCTTGAAAGTGAAACTGGTTAATTGGACCATCTGAACAGAATGACGTTGAAGGCTTCCTCGAAACAACACTTGTAAAAACCTTGATTTCTTTTTTTCTCCAAAGGCGTGATAGATTTCTTTGACAAGGCAAGGTTTTTTTTTTCTTTGGCAAAACTGGGACCCAGCCGTGTGCAAGAATAACATGGCTGGCGACAAAGTGGATCAATACCAGCAACGCCCAATCGGTGGAAAACCTATTGTAAACAGAGACCATTGCTCGTCGTCTGCACCCCATTATAAGCTATTCGTTGTATCGGGAAACTTCAATGCTCATGGGCGCGCCATGTCAAAAAGTTCGGCTTCTATGCAATGTGATAAGATGATGGAAAATCTGTCACTATTATAGTGACAGATCTACGGGGAGATTTTGGGGGTCTAAACCCTGGCCTTTACACTATCAGTGAGTTGTTGTTATATTATCGGTTAGGACTGATAATGTAACAAAAATTGACTGACAGTGTAGTAGCTCTGCGCTCGCATTCCTCGACGAACAAAATGCCCCTATGCTGTAAATTCACGCTGCCCTGGCTAGGACACTGGTTAAGAATAGGCCTAGCCTATGTACGAAGAGGTGGAATGCGCGCATGAAAACGGAGGCACATAAAATAGGACCACATAGCATAGAGTAATAATTTACACGTAGCTCGCACTGTTCAATATTTAAACAGATTCCGCGGGAAGACATTCTGACAGGTGACTATAGACTTTTGTCCTGCTGTCTGCTATCGTACTGAATGATAATTGGCTTTTCCGCGTAGCTGCGGAAAAGCCTTTCTTTTTGTGCTGGTTTTTCTTTCTTCTTCTTTAAGGTGCAAGTCCACCGCCAGGTAACCATAAGACTAGCCAATTCAAGTACCGCAATGTGTAACCTTTCCAAAAATATCCACTTAACACTTGGTCATTTCAAAAAAATAAATGACCCCTGGCTCTTGCTCTACAGTGGGTTTGGTGGTTTTAAGACATCATCTTACATTGAACTTTTTTTTTTAAATTTTGCCGACGCGCATGGCTATGGCGACGCGCACGCATACCAGAAACCGGAGCTTTTTTGGCATAATAATCACTTACTTCGTTTCGTATGAATAAAAAAGGACTAAATGCTTCAGATTTCAAATATGCACTTGTCATTTACAAGGCTGGGTTGGGGCAACCTTGAAATTATAAAGCACAATAATTCTGCGCAAAAATAACTGCATTTATTATAATGTTAATCGCGAAAGAATAATATTAACAAAGTTCATTACAAATGATACCATGTTCGTGTGAATAAAACATGGCATTTGCTTTTACTTCCACTCGCATCTGTATGAATGAAAATTAAGCAAACACTTTTACTAAAAACCATTTGCTAACATCTGAAAATAATTACTCTTTACCCTTTAGCTTTTGCTACACTATAAGCGTTTACTTCGTTTCATATGAATAAGGAGTAAATGCTTCAGATTTATGTACTTGTCATATTTCAAGGTTGGGTTGGGGCTACCTTGAAAATATAAAAGCACATAATTTTGCGCAAAAATTACTGCATTTATTAATGTTAATCGCGAAAAATTAATATAAACAAAGTTCACAATAAGTACAAATAATACCACACGGTAGTTCGTATGAATAAAGATATAGCATTTGCATTACTACCAATATTTTAGCATTTACTCCCATCTGTATGAATAAAAATTAAGCAAAGGCTTTTACTGAAAACCATTTGATCTTGAGTAAATGGCCTGCACAATGTAAAGGTTTACACGTTTAGGCCTATAAGTTTGCAAAAAATAAAATTATCGTAACCGAAAGGGTAAGCGGTACGTGTATGCGCAGCGCGTACATACTCGTGCGCATTTCTAGCTTCGCGCGCGTTGAGCTAGCTAGGTCACGTGCTGGAGGACAGATACATTTTGCTGTAATGAATGACAAAAGTGGAGATGTTGCGTAGCACTGTTGAGCATAATTATGACATAACTTAGTTAGAATTATAGCAGTGCTCACGGGAAAATAACTCCAAAGGCTTTCGGTGCGTACACCTTCTTCAGGGGATTAAGCCATAGCCCCCTGAAGAAGGTGTACACACCGAAAGCTTGGAAGTTTTTTTCCGGTTAGCACTTTTATAAATTGAACTTTATGTCCTACTTTTAGCTGTATGACTTTATGTTAATTTTTTGCGCGCCCACAAGAGAACACAAATATGGTACACATTTATCGCACAGTGAATGGGGCTTATGCACGCGCTGCCGATTTAGTCATTTTATTCTATGGCCGTAATACAGACTGCAACCGCTACATGACGTATATAGAGTACAAATAATCAAGTACGGGCCGAGTCCAAATAATTTTCGAGTACTGATAGTCGAGTACGGGCCGAGTAATTGCGTGTACTCGAGTTGTACTCGAGTACGAGTACGAGTACTCCAACACTGCTACTAGCTCATTATTACTTTTTGTGAACTGTGTACACAAATATTATAATGTACATCACTGCACATCGGCCAAAAAAGCAAAAAGTCTACAAAAATCATAATGCGGAAAAGCCCTATGTTCTGTTTTCAAACAGACATAGACCTCTAGTTATTTATGTTTTTGTGCAAAAAGGAACCAGACTATTTTCCCTTCCAGCCTCGCTTTGGTTACGGTGATTTGAAGGGGAAAAAAATTAACTTGGCCGCAACAAGACAGTGGTCTTTAATCTGTTGCCATGACATGATGAAAAACATCGCTTCAATATTTAGGGAATAACAGTGTGAATCTAGGACTCAGTCTTCACTGCGTGATAATGACGGTTGGTCCATTAACAGCGGCCATCCCCCACCCGGTCATTATCACGCAGTGAACACTGGTCCTCACACTGTTATTCCCATTAATAAATACTTTTTTAACGAAATAAACAGTTTAAGTGTTCGAGCAAATTTTATGACTTTTCTTTCGGCGATATTTTTAGACTTTTTGTTCATGTTGAGGGGCCATATTTTAGCTTATGACTGCGTAGACTTGGCCAAGTCTGGGTCACGCACAGCGCATACTATACATAACGCGCGCCCTCACGCGTCGAATCCGGACCATCATGTTAAAAACGTACATGTACATGTTATTTTCAAGTGATGCAGCAACCCAATTGGTAACTTTTGCACCACATGTATGCACATGCTCTGCAATACATGCACCCACATGTACGTATAATACGCGTGTTGTACAATGTACATACAGTGTGTGCGCATTGTTATACGGCACTGAAGTGGAACGCGTGCTGAAATGTACCTCGTCGTGCTTCTGGAAAACGTAAACTAAATGATTTTTGCGATTTTTTTTTTTTAAAGATACCGACTTAAGGCAATTCCGACTTGAGTCAAGTCTAATGACTGCGATATGCTACCCTGTCTCTTCAATGCGTACATTCAAATTACAACATTTTTTTCATAGTTTACCTGACGGAGGAAGCTGGAATTTCATTTATACTTGAACATATAAAGTAAATATGTCCGTGGGCGACATGTTTACAGAAAATAAATCGCTTTCGCCGTAAACATCCTCAGTACTAGCATGGAGCTACAAACATGTCGTGAGCATGTGAAGACCATAGAAGACTTATTCCGCGCGCACATAGCAACTGTGTTGCATACGCGCGCGTAAGTCTTCACACGATGGTGGTTGAGAGCAGGGTGACCGTAAGGTCATGGCAATATTCTGCTAAATGCACTTCAAAAATCTGTCAGATTTATCAAAAATCTGCCAAATTCCCCAGATTTCCTCGAAATACACTAAAAAACCCTTAAAATCACATGCAGATTTGTAGTACTGCCTTAATTAAGGTTCAAATTACATTATTAACAATGTATATAGTCACATAAAGATGTTATGAAATTATTGCGTAAATTTCAGGCAAAACGGAGTTGCGGAGTGAAGTTCGGTTCACCGTGAACCTCAGTGCTTAGGCAAGCCAACCTGTCCCATTATGCAAGGGTTTGTTTGAAAAGCTTGAAGATTTTTTAAACAAATGTATACCATGTTTTTCAAATTTGCGATAATTTTCTGTAAATAACAATTTTTGCAGAATTCTACCATCAGAAATCTGCCAAAAAGATCCATTCTGTCAAAGTTTCTGTCAAACTCGTTTTTAACAAAAAAATCGGTCAAAGTTAGCCGAAAATCGGCTAAAACGGTCACCCTGTTGAGAGCTTGCGCACTGCTGTATTGTTACAAGCTACCGTGTTGTATACTTATTTGGCTTACATGATGCTGGGTCAACGCTGGTTCAGGGGCCATTCATTCGCTTATTTTAGAAACCGGTCTTTATATCAAATTTTAATGCACCCCAACGTGATCGAGTGTGCAATAAATATTGCACGCTCTGCTTAAAAATGTTAAAATCACTAACAGTAAAGTGATTTGGTTTTATACTAGGACTATACCTTCTGCTTCACAGAAGGTGGCACAAAATAGGTTTCTTGGCTTTGCCGTTATTCAAACATATCTTTTGATTTACAAAAGCAAACTCAATGAAACAATCGGTATTCTCAAGCTAAATCTATTACCTTGAAGATGGCGTAAACATTTTTTTTTCAGGACGCCCTGTATAAGTTAGCCGAACCTGGCCCCTCGTTTATAGTTCCCGGCTTCGCCTGTGAACTGTATCTACCTGTACTTACATTTTAAACTCACTGCATATAATGGACTGCAATTTTGAGCTGCATTTTCTGTTAAACCCAAGCATTGTTGGTACTTACGGCCATGTACGCTGTTACTGCACAGAGGAAAGGGGCAACCGCCAATATGACCATGAAGACTTGTACACAACGAACACGCCTCCTCGTCGCGCTAAAAAAAGCCATCTTAAATCAGCAACTAATAGGTTTTGCCGGTCAAAATCGCTCCCAATGGTCTCGATACCGATCCATACAACAAAAGTGTACAATGGATAGAAGGTTCCCGTGCACTTCATGCCCAGACACAGCGTGTGGTCGTGCGCATGTGCGAAGATACGTGTCCTTCGGATCCCTCGTACCCCCGCCCTGCAAACAGGGCGCTGGGTAGTCTGGTTCCCAAACCTGACAATTATTTCCGACGCTCACGTCTAAATTGTAGGTCAGGCAGCCTCCGTGGCTAAAAGTATACATGAAGACATTGACGGCCCTTTGTCAAAGCTCGGCTTCGTTTCCGAATTCGCTTTATCGCTTATAGCTCTAAACTTGTTCCAATCACATTTTTCTTCAAAATATCATACAGTTATGATAATACAGTTTGATATTTCTGTAAGAAAACATTGACTAATGTTGACCTGGAATCTTCAAAGTTAGGCACCCATATAGCACTGCTAGCAAGTGGAGCCGAATGGAGACCACGCCGAGTTTTGGAAAATCCCGGTTCAAAAATCAAAATCATTCATAACGCAGCAAAAAAATCGCCCCTCGTTTACGATCCGAGCACACTTGATGTACAAAATCGTCGTTGAATTTCAAGTTTTCTGAATGACAACAATGAATATTAATTATCAACTACTTGTTTAAAGTTAATAAGAAATAATTTTGTAAAGAAATAAGTGGTTAATTAAACCTATATTGACTCGAAAATACTCGGGCGCTATCCGATTGTCGACGAAACGAATTCAGCAAACTTCGGACATTGTCGGAAAAAGGAGGAATGCCTCCCGTTTTAGTCACGTGACGTAAATTGTAATACAATGTATTACTGGAGGCTACCTCACCTAAGATTCATCAGGAATAGTGAGGATATTTAGGTCTGGGAACCTGACGAGGCGCTGGAAAGGGCTGACGAGCTTCACAGAATCTTGTTCAGGAAGTGGGGATGGCATTCTGGGTAACTTATAATTAACTATACATGTATAGACCTAAAGACATCCATCTGCAGCTGTTTTAAGACCGCAGCTAATGCTATATGCTATCCGAAAACTTCCTCATAGAAATGCATACATTCCTTACCGGATGTGATTTTGTTTTTAATTGCGGACCATGTGGACAAATTTGAGGGTCGCATAATGTGCATTTATGAATGGGAATAAAAGCGTAGTGACTCGGTCTTAACGGCCGTTTAAAATCTTGCAGGGTCGTGGCCGTGATGACTTGCAGGTCACAGGTCACGCAAAATCCATCCAATCAGAGCTTAAATTCATTAGCCTTTCCCATAGGCTGTTTTTCGCCCCCTCCACCTCCACAAAAGACATGTAACCGGTAACTAGCTCCCATTTAAAGCCTTTGATTGGATCGCCTCTGCGCGCGCATCACGATTGTTTATTTTTGAATCGCTGTTCAACTGTTGTGCATTGACGTCGGTGATTGAAATCACAATTATCAAGAAACTCACGCTTGTCTTACCACAAAAAGTACGCAAAATCACCAGTTATAAGGATTGAACAGCAATATTCTCTCTATCGAAGTTTGCCACAAATAATATCAAATCCACAAAAGCAAATGAAGGTCATTTAATACCTCCAAAATTTGCACATGCGTGGCCAGGCCTATTGCCATTCTGCAACAGGCTGGTTGCACGCTAACACTACCGTTGTGATCTGGGTGACAAACGAGCTGAATTGTCACAACGGATCCGTCACAAAACATGAATGGGAGCTGCCACATAGACATGACGCCTATAGTCGTAGTATTAGTACGTACGCAGTCACCCATGAACCGCTGGTAGAGGCTTATGCAGGGTCTACTTGCTGTAGGAGTTTAAGGCCAAAAAAAAGCCTCCGGTTTCTGGTATGTGCGCGGGTCGCCGTAGCCATGCGCGTAGCCATGACAAAGTTTTTTTCAATGAAAGATGATGTCTCAAACCGCCAAACTCACTGGTTTGACTGGAATCCTGCTGCTGCACAATTTTAACGTGGTTTTAGATTGGGTTATGGTCGAGAATAAGCTTTATGTGGCCTCTCTGGACTCCCATATATTTGCACTAAGTTTAGTCGGGCACCATTTGCAGTCATCAGCCGACATTGGAAGCAAAAAAGTCAGGTAAAAAAAAAAAAAGCCGCGTCGCCGCACCACTTTTTGGGCAAGCTCCATACCAGAGACCGGAGACTTTTTTTGGCCTAATCATAATATTCATGGGGTGGAATTTTGTGAAGGCGATGTAACTTAATAACACTCAGTAAACTCAGTAGCACACCGAGTATATACGCGTCGGTAAGGCCAAAAAAAAAGTCCCCGTCAACTCTTCCTGTTCTCGATTTTGGCCTAAAGGGCAAAACCTGATATGCATAGCATTCAATTCAAAACACATTTATTTCCTCTTCATGACAGGAATGAAACATAATGTAAGCCGGTAATGAAAAGGATATCAAGGCAACTAGAGGTGGCAAAACCTTGAAAGCATAGCTTGTATCAGGCATGTCATTACACAAACACAGACGAATTATTACAGAAAAACACTTACACACTTTTCAGCAGTAAACAAAGTTATGAAAAATAATAATTATAATAGTGGCTAAGAGTAGGATCGCCATGCAAGGGCAAAGTCACTTTAAATTTATAAAAATATAACATTAAATAAGGTACAATTTAAGTTTGCGTTTAAAAAAATTATATGACCTTGAAAAGAGAATGGTAGATTATTCCATAATTTAGGTCCGGAGTATGTAATGTTGTTTTGAGGGATGTTGCGGTATTTGGAAATGTAATTTCACACGAGTGTTATAATTATGTAAATATGTTTGAATAAGAAATGGGCAGTAATTGTTTTTGAATTTGTACATTAAAAGTGATTGTTGGTATTTATTTAGGTTTGTTATGATGAAATATTTTAGCTCACGTAAAAGACTTGACCGTGAGCCCTATAGAATTGGTAATAATTCGAACAACTTTTTTCTGCAACTTTATTAGTTTGCGATGCGATGCAATGCGAGGGTGCAGCCTAACCTACACCAAGTATTAGTTTATCTAAACTCGTACGGAATGCATTTCCCCAAACAATGTTACAGTAAGGAAATAAGGAAGTATTAATGAACTGTTTAGAGTATTTAATACCTCAAAGGGTATAATGTTTTAATCTGTTGGTAACTCCAATACTCTAAGAAACTTTACTTACAGTCTCATCGATGTGATATCTCCAATTCAAGTCAATTTCTCATCGATGATAACACCTACAAATCTAAACTTATACCCTCTATAGTTGTGCTATCCAATAAAATATTTAAGTATCATGACTTATTCTGGATTTTTTCCCGTTAGGGTAGATCATATAATTACATTTAGATAAGTTAAGAAATAAGCGGTTAGCTTTTAACCAATCACAGATACTGATCAGTTCATTGTTGACAATATTATTAAGGGAAATAAGATCTTTGTTACAATAGAATAAACTAGTGTCATTAGCATATAATATAAAGGAGAACAAGTTCGATGTCTTTGAAATATCATTAATATAGATTAAAAAATCAAAGAGAGCCCTGGGGTACTCCGCACGAGATGCCTTTTTAATCAGACAGGCAATTGTTAAAACTTGTACACTGTTGACGATTATTCAAATACTCACAAACCAGTCATGGGCAACTCCGCGGTGTCCATAGTAATCTAATTTATGAAGAAAAATATCATGGTTTATAGTATCAATTTGAATAAATTTAAGAATATACCAACTGGAAAGGCATTCTCCTCAAAGGTTTTGACTACTTTATCTACTAGGTCAATAAGTGCCATTGAAGTGGAGAAATTAGATCGAAAACCATATTGATTATCAGAAATAAGGTTATACTTGTCTAGAAATGTTACTGTCCTATTGTACACAAGTTTGTCAAGAATCTTGGAAAAACATGATAGTACCGAAATTGGTCTATAATTACCAAGCTCAACAGGGTCTTCTTTTTAAATATAGGAGTGACTATAGAATATCGAAATTTTCAATTTATCTGGAAAAAAAACTTTAGATAGAGATAAATAAAAAATGTGACATCGCTTATAATTGGTTATGACAGATTTGATTAACCCTAGTGTGACACCATCCAAGCCAGGAGACTTGTTGTTTTTATATTTGGGAACTATTTTATGAATTTCTGTTTTTGTTATAGGATTAAAGTAAATTGAATTATCGTCAGGATCAGTGAAGTAATTCTCATAACTAGCATTTGCTTGCGGAATATTTCGAAAACTATGTTTTCAAAAAAGGTTTTACAAAATTGGTTGAGCCTAGGCACCCATGTATTTTCACAACAACAACGTTTTTGTTCTTCTTACAATTTTGCTCGTGGCTTCGTTCTCTCACATGACAAGGGCGTAAACGGGTGACGTTTTTATTTACCAAAACAATGTAATTAACATGAAAAGTTCTAACTACAAAAATTCCATTCGAAAACATGATAACAGAGGGAGCTGTGAGCGAAATGATTTATCACAAATATTAAAAGTTGACGGAAATCATTTTGAGATCACACACTAACTATTTTCAAAGAGGTTTAATGCGTGCATTAAAACCGAGGCACATTATTGGACTTCATAGCATCAGTCCTGATTTACACGTAGCTAATATGCGTATAATGCACATGGCGCGAAAAATAACCTCAAAAGAAAACTCACCTGTCACAAAAACCTCCAAAATGCATTTCATTCACGGCACGAAAAATGGCTGCAAGAGGTCCTCGACTCGCAATAAATGAAGGAATCGCAACTTAGAGAAATGATTCTGATGTAGAAAATTGTGTAAATTTAGACCAACTTTTTTCACGAAACTCGACACTTCATTGAAATAAGTGTGTCGTAAATGCAACATTTTCAAGCCGAATCGATTAGATACTGAAAAAATAATCGTTACTAAAGCCTGAATTTGCTCATAAATATGAAATGTGCACTGAGTATTTAACGATACTCTCCTCAATTTTCATGTAATTTATCCAGCAAAAAATCGTCAAAAATGTTTCAAACAAACCGCGCGAAACCTCAGATCACTGGTTGCTATGTGTAACCAAGTACCAATAATGCGCATGCGCACATACTAATTGGCCACCGTGAACGTAC